ACATCAAATAAATAAATCTCTTCTACAAATCTATATTTCATTCATATAATAATTTAAATATATATTTATTTTATTAAAATATAATTTTTATTTTTTAAAATAAAAAATATGTATGTGTGAAATAGTAGTGGGACAAGTGCCCCCACTACTCTCAACCTGGATCCGTCCCTGGTCCTTGTGCTTTGTAATTACTGCTATAGTAGTATTCGTTTTCTTGTAAGAAATCTATACTGGTAAATAATACAATTCCAGAGTTTATTCCATTCTACATATCATTCTCTATTACTTGTGTTTACTGTTGACACTGTTACAAAGTACTTAATAGTTTTGAACTACATGAGAGATTCATAACCGAATACAAGTCTAGATTGCATGATTCACTGGTTGTTCATGGTTTATATTTTATGTGAGGCTTGTGCTTGTGCTTGTGCTTGTTCTTGTGCTGAACCATGATGTTCCAGATTCACTTCGAATCATACTATCCACTCGTTCTTCGTAGCTAACAATGTTGTCACGTGATTGTGACTCATTCCTCCGCGGTTTCATACTCTGAATCAAATGATCCAGTCGTTTTACGTAGCTAACGATCTTGTACCAGGATGGTGGTGGTGCAGACTTAATCGAATCATCCACTCGTTGTTGGTGGCTAATGATGTTGTCACTGGATTGATGGGAAGTTTGGTCATCTTCCTACAATTTCACTCACTCACTTCAGTTCATGTAAAGAGTGTGGGCTTGTTCACAAGAGGCTAAGAACTAGCCCATTTTTATAGACACAGTAAGATATGAATGCCCAATTTAGTCTTAACATATTAATATATTAACAAAAATGGTATTTCCATCGATAATATTTTTCTTTTTATGATATAATTTTTGTATTGTTTCAAATCTGACAATAAAATATTAATCTAAATTTATAAGATATGATTTTTATTGATCAAGTATTATTTTAATATTAATGTAAATTGATCCATAAATATAATATAAATTTTTTAAAGAGATAACATTATTTACATAATTAAAACTAAAAAAATATAAACTAGAGGAAAAAATATATCCTTTATTATCTTATGTATTCGAAAGAAAAAGAAATTAAGGATACCAAGAAAAAAGAAAGATAAAAATAATGGTAGAAGATCAAAGGTAAGGAAGTGGAAGACAGAATATTTAATAAGAATATGAAATATGAATAAAGGAAAGGAATATGAAAATATAAAGCTAACAAACATTTTTTTTGGCAAATATTACAACACGAAAACAATAATCTTTATATATATATATATATATATAATGGTGTAGGTCATCAATTTACTTTTTCGCTTAAATTTTCTTTTTATGATATAATTTATGTATTGTCTCTAATTTGATAATAAAAAATCAATCTAAATTTATAAGATATAATTTTTATTAATCAAGTATTATTTTAATATTAATTTAAATTGATCTATAATACAATACAAAATTCTTAAAGAGATAACATTATTTACATAATTAAAACTAAAATACATAAAATAGAGGAAAAAATACATCTTCTATTATCTTATGTATTTGAAAGAAAAAGAAAGGATACCAAGAAAAAAGAAAGAGAAAAAGAATGATATAGAATTAAAGGTAACGAAGTGGAAGACAGAATATTTAATAAGAATATGAAATATATCAATAAAGGAAAGGAATATGAAAAGAAAAAGCTAACAAACTTTTTTTTTTGACAAATATTACAACACGAAAACAATAATCTTTATATATATAAAGTAGTGTAGGTCATCAATTTACTTTCTTGCTTAAATTTTCTTTTTATGATATAATTTATGTATTGTCTCAAATCTGACAATAAAAAAAATTAATCTAAATTGATAAGATATGATATTTATTAATCAAGTATTATTTTAATATTAATGTAAATTGATCCGTAAATATAATATAAAATTCTTAAAGAGGTAACATTATTTACATAATTAAAACTAAAATATATAAAATTGAGGAAAAAATTATATCCTCTATTATGTTATGTATTTGAAAGAAAAAGAAAGGATATCAAGAAAAAAGAAAAAGAAAAGGAATGGTACAAGATTAAAGGTAACGAAGTGAAAGACAAAATATTTAATTGTCGTTTTGATTTTGATACACTTATTATTATTAGTTATTTGTGATAATCATTAAAGTCATAATTATATTTCTTGTATCTTGACAATTATTATTTTGCAAAAAATCAAT